CGTGTGTGTATGTGTATTATATATATATATATATATATATGTGTGTGTGTGTGTATGTATGTATGTATGTATGTATGTATGTATGTATGTATGTATATATATATGTGTATATATATATATATATATATATATACAGGTCCTCATATACTGGAGGTCAAGTGTACAGATACTATCGTACATACAAATCATCAGCTGAGGCTAAGGTACAGGCATACTATGCACTACTCACAGGTGGTGATCCACTGGCTCCCCACTAATTGCATGAACATCTCCTATGCGACTGTCAATCTGCGAGTGGCTGGTATGCTGCTCTCAAACGATGGTGCAAAATTTCGAGTGTTCTCAATTACTGTCGATGGAACGCAAATCAGCGTCGTGACTGAAAGTGGTGAAGCGTACTCGCCATCCGTTGACGAGCTTGCGGACTTCCTGGCCTGTCAACTGGCCGCGGTGCAGGTAAGACGCCGTTTTTTGTTCGGATGGGGGGTTTTTTTTGTGTGCTCACGTTTGCATGCTCGTGCGCTCCATTCGTCTTCATTTTGTAAACTAGGCTACCATTCAATAGTTGACTGTTCCTTGCTATTACATTTCTTGCAGCTGGACGCTATGGTTCTGGGAGCACGAGTGCTTGGTTGGACTTTGCTGCGTAAGGACTCGTCACGGCAGTGTATAGCATCACAATTTAGCATGACCATTCGCAGCGGTATGACTGTGCTTTCCATCAAACTAGTACCAAATGCAGAAACGATGAAAATTTCGGTGGAGCTGAGCGGGAGAACGGGCTCGGCTACCTTGTATGGCAAGCCTGCACATAAGTTGCTGGCATTGGCCTGGGACTATACGCCTGAGAGATCACTGAGAGAGAAATTGAGTTTATTGTTGTTCCAAGCCTCTTGCAATGCAATGCCGTAGCCATGGCGAATAAAAGTCTCAAGACCAGGCTGTGGGTGTTGCAACTGATTCCCTTGTTCGTGTATGAAATATGAAATTATATTTTATCTGCAGATATGTCAGTATCTTGAAAAACTTTTATCAGCCAACTAAAAAGTTGCAATACACGGTAGGGGGTCAGAAGTCGAAATGACGTTGTGTGATATGTTATCGTTGGTTCGACCAATCGAACCGACTTTAATCAAAACTCATAAGCCTGTCCCAGTACTATCATAGTTACGCCTGAAATACCAAATTACGCCATGAATGTCTCGCAGATGACTCTACTAGATAACCTAAATATCGACAGTTAAACGCACCAAAACTAAACGTAGATTACATTGCCACTTTCATTGTGCTTCAGATGGTGTATTCGGCTCGGGTGAGCGATCGCCCTCAGAAGCTGAGTCGAAATCATCCGAGGACGAACTTGTTGCATTATCTGCTGTATTATAACCCTCCGATAACTCTGGGGAGCGACTTCTCTGGACGTTGCCTTTGCCATTCTGTTCATCTGAATTGTTATTGGTATTCCCGTCGGCGCCCGTCACCTCTACCGTCACCTTCGCAGCACCGTGAGTGTCGTGCTCCTCTGTTCCTGTGTTCTCTGAACTTTTGCTGTCTAGGCGCACACCTTGCAGTTCGTCGTTCATGCTGGCCATTGACGCCTTGCGACCTGCAGCGATCCTGCAAAACAGTATAATTGAGGTCAGCAAAATCTATAGCATTGTACGTACTGCCTTAAACACAATGTTAAAGGCTTCCACCATAAATGAAGACTTTGTCATAATCTCATATTACTGGGGTAAAGCCGATGGCAGTTCCACACTAAAATATATGTATAAAAACCGTTGGTTTTTGGTATAATATTATTTCAAAATTGAGCAGATGGTAAACTTGAGCCCGAACCAATCACAAAAAAAAATCGAAACGAATTGCTATTCCGCGCATTGGATTACCATTTAAAATTTATGTTGAAAACAATCATTCGTACGAACGATGCGTGCGCCGGCATGGTGATGCTAGAGATGTAGATACAATTCGGTTACACTCTGCAAAAACAATCGATACATACGCTCGTTTCCTTAGGTAAGTTCGTGTTAGAGCGGCAGTTTGCGACGCCTCCGCACTGCCAAAACTTCCGAATCCGTCGATGAAAGGAGTGATAAATGAAGGCAATGACGTATTCAGCCCCTGAGCAGAGCATTGATATATATATAAATATATATATATATAAAAGTGAGTACTATAAAGATCAATAAGATTCGGCAGACTCCCTAGTCATTGCGCTAAAATAGCGCACATCAAGTATCATGACTTGTAGTTGTCCGTAATTGCCACTATCAAGGCAGTACCCGTTTCCGTGACCACAAAAATGTTCTGAAATCCCAATTTTGTTTAGATATATCAACATTTTCAGACAACCATATATAAGATCGGACCCATACATCGTCCACCACAACAGTTTAATCAAAACTTGTACCATGGTCTAAACTGAAGCGCGACACGAGGCCCACGCATGTAGGTATCTCCGTAATTGCTCACATACCACGGTGATGTTCATGCAATGGACGCCTCCAGATACTTCCTGATAGATCAAAATCGACTTGGCCTTGCGGGTGGCGTCCGTTTTGTTTTTCGATCGCTTACTTCGCTCTAGTATAATGACCCTATCGATCAACATACTTGGTTCGAGACTAGACAGTTTCTCTAGATCGTCGGAGTCGTTAACTTCGTGAACTTTGAATTGTATAGTCATGTCATACACCATCGGGATGAGGGTTTTCCTATATATTTCGAAATCGTCATGGGAGAGAAATTAAATCTTGATGTGCGGTTCGAAAAGTGCGCCTCGTGCAACCTCCGGAAACTTGTTCCGGTGTACTGGTGGGACAGGGCAGACGGTTCAATGTTTTCCAAATGGTTCATGTACGACAAGAAGTCAGCGCGGTGCCAACCACAACTACTAAATCGAATAATATTTCCACAAATTCTACCAGTCGCCAAATGTTGTTTTGTAGACGTTGAGCAGGACACAATGCGCAAAATGCTTGAGAAAATTCAGAAGTTGCCACCTCTTGGTTGTTTTTGAGATATACCTTCGGCTATAGCTTCAATGCTAGTGCTAACAGTCTAGAACTGGTAACAATAAGTGTGCTAGTTTGCAATATTGTGTCAATTTTCAGTGCGCCACTACTCGAGCTTGGAGAAATTCAACACTATTTTTAACAATCTATTCCAACCTCCAAAAGGACAATTTCCATACTGAACCAACGGAAAGCAACCCACGTACGTGATGCGAAACGTGGTGTCATCAGGTACTTCATCCCAGATCTTCGGCCCGCCAGGTTGGCAAGCTTTGTGATATTCGAAACTCGCCAAGAATTGGGGTGTAATCTCGGCCAAAGTGATGTCTTTCAGAAGATAGTGAACCTGCGCTGAGCACCGTGAACATCTTAAAACATGCGTACCTAAACAAGCACTTTGACGCGCTGCAAAAAAAAACATTTTAGAACTCGACTCGAATTATATGTTTTCATCGAAAAAAAGGCTACACCGAATGCCCATCATCACTATACTTGCCTTAGTGATTATAACAGTGTATAGTTGAGCTTCCGTTCCATCATATATATCCACCACTGGAACATTATTGTCTTCCACCTCATTTTCGAATCCGGTGATGTTGATGACGCTGTCCACGATTTCAAGCTCGGCTTTATTGAGTGCTTCGCCGGGCTTACAGCAGAATGCGAACAGAGTTGCTCCCTAGTAGATAAGAAGAAAGTCTACTTGAATGACACAAGCTTATATACGCGATCGCTAGGTTGGCGCATCTCAACGACCAAAAAAAGCATATTCACTGCGCCGTATGGTTTAGAAGGGACATATTCACATAACTATCGCGAATTATTGCCTATCCATCGACTTATTTTCAAGTAGCCACTGTCGTCAACCGATTCAGAATACGGAGGCAATATAGATAAACATTTACTATTATGCACGCTTCAAATAAGCACCATGCACACAATTTTACCTTGTTAAGCAAACGCAGGTTGCGATGACTATCCAAAAAACTGTAGTGGCCATCGTGGTATGTTACCGCCTCACTACGGACTGGGAGACGCTGGCAAGTCAGAGCCGGAGCATCCTCACCCGGGATATTCTAAAGAAACGGTATGACAAGTGAGCGAGAGAAATGAAATGAGACCACACAGTCCGATACGAATGTGCACGAGCTCGGCGTATTAATTCTGCCAGAGACATCGATGGAACCATTTTGAAGTATAAGGATAAAAGACAGCCTTCGCAGTCATCATGCTTTTTCAAGTCATAAATTTGCAAGTACGATAGAACAAAAACGGTTCGTTCAGTAGTTTATTATAACTAGGCAACTCTCGCTATACGGATGCAACCAGCATTCCTAAATAACTCGACGGTTCTTTGGTACAACTTTATTCATAAGCATGCACAATTTTTCTCTACAGATCACCAATAAGTCCATATACGAGAATGTATTATATATATATATATATATTCATATATATATATATATGTGTGTGTGTGCGTGTGTGTGTGTGTGTGTGTGTGTGTGTGTGTGTGTGTGTGTGNGGTGTGTGTGTGTATAT